CAGCTAGGAAATTGAGCAAACCAGAAATTGCAGCTGTTTTGATCCCTCACAATTTGTGGAAATGGAAGCACTATGGGGAGATCAGAATGTAGCTGTATTGGAGTTTGGCTTGTTTGCCTGTCACATTCTCCGACCTTTAAGTCTCCTTGGGCTTAAACCTGAGACCGTGGGATGAAACAAGAATGCATTTGGCTGCTTGGTGAGCTATGCTTCCCCAGCTTTCTAGATGAAAATGTAGCAACATTCACAAATATCCAGTTCTTAAAATCTGATGAGTGTAGCATTTTGCTTATACCTTCGAATTTTGGAAACTAATAAAACTATTTAAACTCCCAGCTCATATTGATTTACATGAATTGTTAAAGAAATTTTAAGGCAAACATATTTTCAAGTTAGAAATGTCCATTCTTCCTAGTGAAATGTAATTCATTTCAGTGACTGGCCGTGGTCCACTGAGGCACAATGATGGAATGGGAGAGGTTCTTGAAGGTAGAGTCTTTTATTTTTTTGTATCACACTTTGTTTTGTTGCAGTGTTTTCTGAGCCTCTTGTATAATCTCATAACTTTTTCACCACACCTCCTCTTCTCAAGTAAAATCTAGCTGTTATCAGATGTCCATGGAAACAGCTAGCTAAATTATTTTATGCAAAAGGACTTCTCAGGTTATAACACATACAGCAAAAACTCTTAAAAGAACTAAACTTAAGCACACAGAACTTGAGGTTTTATGTCGATGAGGGGGCTTTACTGTAACATCAGAAGGGTCCCCAGTTCTCCTCCGATGACCAAGAACCACAGTCGCATCCTCTCTGGAAGCGTCAGGTGTTCAGCCATTGTTCCAGCTGGAATCAGTTACTGCACAGGATAATTCTTGAGAAAGACTTGTTCAACTCCCTAGTTTTGTTAAAGAATCTATGCCGTTTTGCTTTGTTAGGCAGTCTATGCCATTTCAAAACATGTTTTAAGTATTTAGTTACAAATAAAGCATAAATTCAGTAAGTGAGAAAGAATTTGGGCCCTGCACTGTAGTCTTGCGGCTTAAGTCCTCGCCTTGCATACACCAGGATCCCATAAGGCCACTGGTTCATGTCCCAGCAGCCCTACTTCCCATCCAGCTCCATGCATGTGGCCTGGGAAAGCAGTCAAGGACAGCCCAAAGCCTTGGTATCTTTCACCCATGTGGAAGACCTGGAGGAGCTCTGGGCTCCTGGCTTCAGATCAGCACAGCTCAGGCCATTGTGGCTGCTTGGGGAGTGAATCAGCAAATGGAAGATCTTCCTCTCTGTATATTTGCCTTTTCAATAAAAATAAAATAAATCTTGTTTAAAAAAATTGAGAAGGAATCAATGACAACTTTAGGGCTCAAGAAATACCTAGCAACAAATGTTTACACAGCAACATTTATTTTATAACTTAGCAAATCTTTTGGACTCTTCTTATTCCTAGACTGCCAGGGAAATATGATGTGTTTTTCTCTTCTTACTTTGGAGGGAACCAAAAAATAAACAGGAAAAAAATATATAGGAGTGAGGGAAAGGGGGATGGAGGAAAGAAATCTGCCATTTTATTAAAACTTTTTATTGATTACTAAGAAATTCCAAAGAAAAATAACAGCTTACAATGACCAGCATACACAATCAAAATATTTATAAAATAGGCAAGACCAGGGCCTGGCACGGTAGCCTAGATGCTAAAGTCCATGCCTTGAACATGCCAAGGATCCCATATGGGCGCCAGTTCTAATCCTGGCATCCCTGCTTCCTATCTAGGTCCCTGTTTGTGGCCTGGGAATGCAGTCGAGGATGGCCCAAAGCCTTGGGTCTCTGCACCCATGTGGGAGACCCAGAAGAAGCTCCTGGCTCCTGGCTTCAGATATGCACAGCACCAGCCATCGTAGTCACTTGAGGAGTAAATCATTGGACAGAAGATCTTTCTCTCTGTCTCTCCTCCTCTCTGTACATCTGACTTTGCAATAAAAATAAATAAATCTTAAAAAAAAAAAAGTAGTCAAGGCCAGTGAAAAGAAGTCTACTTCAGACAAAAGTTAGCTTTCTTCTAAAAACGATGATTAGGAGTGTTTGAAATAATAAATTTACCAGGCACATTTATACTTCTTCAAATCTCTAACAACTATCTCTAGGGTTTAATTGTACTTATTCATTATTACAATTTACATTACCTTTCAAGAAAGTGCTTTCACTGGTAGAAATAGGGTGTGATGCTGCCCAGGTGTCACCTGAGAGAAAGACAAAGATGAAGACAGTCAAGAGATGGTCGACTCCTCCGAGCCACCAAGAAATCTGACGCCTTCTAAGCTACATAAAGCATCGGAATCCCCAACTTGACCATGGAGTCTGCTTTTCATGAATTTGCAGCTGCAAGGAACAGCAGAATCATGGTGAAATAAGATAAACTTGCTAGTTGTGCAAGCTGGCCTTGGGGGCATGCCATGTGACCCTACTGTGTGATCCTGTGGCAGTGCCTGACAGCCTCAGGCCCTCCTGTGTTGCCTCGCAATCACAAGACACCTATGGGCTGGCTAATGGGGTTCTCAGGATTTGGGCCAAAGTCTCCAACCTTATTAAATAAAAGCAAAGGGAACAAAAACCAAAGGAGAGTCTGGAGACTAGCCATCTGGCATAGAAAATTGATGGACCAGGAAGTTTCCATCTTAGAAAATAGAGGAAGGTGTAGAAAACCATACCACCACATTTTTCTCTGAAAGGGAAGTTCTATCCAGTTACAAATCATATTGGGGAGAAGATGAAATCACAAGCATTCTGAAAATAGAATTTATAAAAGACAGTGTTGTCCAAGTTTTTCTGTTCTCCATGTTCCTACAAAGAATTTAGCTGAATATAACCAGATCTGTTTCATAAAGATCTGCTGAATGACTAAGTCAATAAATAAATGACTAATTAAAAGAATGAAATTCATCATCAAACAAGTTTTTCTTTAGTTTCAACCGCATATAACAATTCACTCTGAGTCTGCTTTTAACCTAAATAGAACAAAGGATGTAAATTGCCTTCAGGGCTTAGCCCATTCGTTTCTTCTTCCCCTGTTGTTTGCCCAATACGCAGATAAAAAATGGCACTCTTATAGGCTAGCGATGACAACTCATTGATAAATTTAAGCTTTTTCCTTTCTCAGTCTGTATCCATCTTTTTGAACAAATGTTGGAATGGAACTAAGCCCCCTAAATTCTCCAAACATATGTACTAGTACTCATTATAAACCTCTAGAAATGGGCCAGCACTATGGCTCAACAAGCTAATTATCTGCAGGCTATGGCATCCTATAAAGACATGGGTTCATGTCCCAGCTACTCCACTTCCAATCCAGCTCTCTGCTTACGGCCTGAGAAAGCAGTGGAAGATAGCCCAAGTCTCTGCACCCATATGGGAAGGTCTAGAAGAGGTTCCTGGCTTTGGACTGGCCCAACTCTGGCCTTTAAAGCCAGTTTGAGAAGTGAACCTGGAGGATGGAAGATCTTTGTCTTTCCTACTGTCTGTAAATCTGCTTTTCCAACAAAAGTAAATAAATGTTTTTAAAAATCTCAGGATGTAACTAAAGTGTGCTTCCATTGAATTTTCTTTTCTGTGATACCGTTTAATCTCCACTTAGAGTCTCCCTACTGCATGGGCTATGAAAATGCAATTTAGCCGATTGGGGCAAACTGTACTCCTAGCAACCCTGGTTATTCTGATAGTCTTTAAGCCTAGCTCAATCGCTATATATCACATCGAGACTGTGTTTCCAGACATTTCCTGTGCCACTAGGCAGACAAGCCTTTGCATGTTAGCCCTGTAAAATGGGACAGCATGACCTGTTCTGGGAACAGAGGAGGCATGGGATGAGCTGTGTGTGGGAAGCCAGTGTGTGTTTTAAGGTCCGGTACAGTGTGATTACAGCCTTCTTGCTTTTTGTTTCTCCCTCCCCCAACCCAGAAACTCTTGACAGAACTGGGAAAGAAACAGTTCTCAGTTTACAGTAAAAATAGTTCCTCCATCCTATTGCTGCTTCATGATGTTTGAAAGACTATTTTGAAACTTGAAGATTAAGAGCTATTTTTTCTTTCTGTATTATCTTATCTACCTTATGAATAGGCATCAAATCATATCCTATAAAATTTTTTGCTTGTTTTTTATTAGTTTTGTATTCATGTCACTTGCTCATTTTACTGACATCTTTGTTGACTTATAAAAGTTTCTCATATGAAGAATATTAAAAATGATTGTTATATATTAAAAGTATTTTTCTTATTTATTATTTGTCCTTTGGGCTTTAGGGTGTGTATACTACTTGTGAAAATTCACATTCTATAAATATGATTTGGGGGGGGTTTACCCTTTGATATTTTTATTGAAGATTTTCCTTCTGTAAGATGATGAACATTTGCTTTTGTTTTAATTGTTTTGTTTATTTAATCAAACTAATTTGTATGTAATACATTATATTTCGCATGCATATATGTGGGTTTAGGCTCTCGACTGTTCTGTGTTATTCATTATTTGTTTTCAGGATCATTATTTAATAATCTTCCATTGGGGTCCCAATTTTATATGTATCATAATAATGCTTTACAAATGGTTCATTATGTCCAGTCTATTAGGTTCTACTGTCTCCTATCTCTTACTAACCTAATAAAACAATATTGTAATGATTGTAGATTCTTCATAAACTCCAAAATCTGATAGGAAAAGTCTCTTTCATCAATATTTTTTTCAAACATTTTCTTCCAAAGGGAATTTTACATGTTGGCATTATCATGTAGACTTTATTGTGTGTCAGCCTCCTAAGTCAAATTCCCACTCAATCCATCCGCAGTCCAGGGCAGAATTGTAGCTATAGATGTAAGAAGATAGAATTGAACTCCTTTTTCCATACCTTGTTATTTCAACCTTGGGCCTTTAACATGAAAACTGATTTCCGATTTCTGCATTAGAGCAAAGAACATTGAAGTATTCCTCTTTAAGACATATCCCTGTCCTTTCAGAGTGTGGAAGGAGAGCATCACGAGAAAGCTGTGGAACTGCTCAAAGCTGCTAAGGACAGTGTCAAGCTGGTGGTCCGATACACCCCAAAGGTCCTGGAAGAAATGGAGGCTCGTTTTGAAAAGCTACGGACAGCCCGGCGTCGGCAGCAGCAGCAACTGCTCATTCAGCAGCAACAGCAAACACAGCAAAACCATATGTCATAGGTGAGCGGCGCCTTCATGCAGGGGGAGTCCTGTAGAGACGAGTGCGATTGATATCTTTGTAGAATATAGTTTCTCAGATGGCCAGAGTGAAAGGAATTATCCAGTTACATTGAAGAATTCAAACAAAAGTCAATTAAAACAAAGACAGCGTTCTCAAGAAATATGAGCAAGACAGATTACGTGTCATTCATCTGGCTATTTTTTCCACAGTGGTAAAACATGTTGGAAAATAACTTGCAGATTTTAGGATTCCTTTTATGCGAACAAGCAAAATGCAGCCTCTATGCTAACCCAAGCCCTCTGGTCTAAAACCAGTTGCGAGGCGTGTGAACTGGACCCTACTCAGAGCTCATCCCCTTTGGATGACTGGCTTTGCACACAGTAGGAACACTTCAGAATCAGGGCACAGCCTTCAGGTGCTGCCCCTGGGAGCAGCTGCTTTAGAAACATTAGCAAAATGCCCCACTGGAAAAAAAGAAACCAAGATCTGGCTAGTTTCCATGTTGTTGAGAAATCCTGGAGTATCTCTAAGGTGCTCATTTAAAATGTGTCCAAGAAGCCCCTGTCTTGTCCTAAACTCCTTTTTGTGATAAAGGATGTTAAATCAGATTTTTGTTGTAAGTTTTCAAGAAAAAGATCAATAGCAAGTCACTGTATTTGAATTGCCTACCATTTGCTTACCACAGATGATCTCAAATACTCAGAAAAATCCTTCCAGGCAAGTACCATTAAAACCCCGCTTCTGAAAGAGATGACCTGAAGCTGAAATACCTATTGGGATTTCCCCACAATCGCTCTTGGAAGAAGATAGGATTATTTCTTGCCAGGTATTGCATCTGGCAACATCAGATATTCTGCAGTTATGTAACTTCCGCTATCTGTCCTATGGAAATGACAGTTGAGGTGGATTTGCAGTGAGGCTTCACAATGTTTTTTGGAAAGTGCTAATAGGTAATGGTGGTTTTAAGTCATGAACTATCAGATTACAATTTGAATCAATGGCAATATTTGTTATAACGTGATGTTTCCTGGTTTTGTGATACTCCTGAAGAGCAGAAATCATACAGGGAAGTAAAACGTGTATATAGGATTTATCTTTCCACAGTTCTGGGACTACAACAATCTTTTCTAACCTGTTAGTTTAACTATAGGACATATGTCATGTTTTGTTATCTCAATCTAAAAATACACTCTAATGAATTCTAAGGTTAGATTTTTAAAATATTTATTTTTATCACAAAGGCAGATTTACATAAACAGAGAGAAAGATCTTCCATCCACTGGTTCACTCCCCAAATTACTGCGATGGCCGGAGCTGAGTCAATCCAAAGCCAGGAGTCAGGAGCCTCTTCTGGGTCTCTCATATGGGTTCTGGAACCCATTATTTTGGACCTTCTTCCACTGCTTTTCCAGTCATAAGTAGGGAGCTGGATGGGGGGTATAGCAGACAGGACACAAACTCGAGCCCATATGCAATGGCAGCACTGCAAGGTGGAAGACTAGACAATTGAGCCATTGTGCTACCCGCCCCGCCAAGATTACATTTAATCAGCAATATTTATTTGTCATTTCCATGGTCTAGGTACTGACCATAAAGCTGCAGAATCAGCCTGAGCAAGGCAAAAATCTTTCTATTGTGATGAGCACAGTTTCTTTAATTTTTTTAAAAAGATTTGTTTATTTTTATTGGAAAGTCAGATATACAGAGAGGAGAGACAGAAAGATCTTTCATCCACTGATTCACTCATTAAGTGGCTGCAATGGCCTGAGCTGAGCTAATTTGAAGCCACTAGGCTAACCTTGCTGGGCCTGATGATGTTTCAAGTGTGACAGTTGACAAGCAAATAAATGAAAATATTCCATTGGGACTGGTACTTTTGTAGTGTTATAAAAGATTATTTAAATAGGGGCCCGGTGGTGTGGCCTAGCGGCTAAAGTCCTTGCCTTGAAGGAGCCAGGATCCCATATGGGCGCGGGTTCTAATCCCGGCAGCTCCACTTCCCATCCAGCTCCCTGCTTGTGGCCTGGGAAAGCTGTCGAGGACAGCCCAAAGCTTTGGGACCCTGCACCCACTTGGGAGACCTGGAAGAGGTTCCTGGCTCCTGGCATCGAATCGGCATAGCATCGGCCGTTGCGCTCACTTGGGGAGTGAATCATTGGATGGAAGATCTTCCTCTCTGTCTCTCCTCCTCTGTATATCTGACTTTTCAATAAATAAATCTTAAAAAAAAGATTATTTAAATAGAGACAGGCTAGGTGATGACTTTTGAGTGGGTGGTCAGGGAAACACTCTCAAAGAAGGCAGCATTTATGAAGAGATTGCACGTCAAGAGCAAACCAAGAAAGAAAATGGTAGTCATAGGGCAGACATGACCTTTTGGATATTTGAGGAACAAAGAGAAAGGCTGAGTAGTTAGATAAAAGTTCATGAGAAGGGCAGCAGTGGATTATGAAGCCAGAACGATAGGTGGGGGTCAGGCCATGGACAGCTTCATAAATTACTGTGGGAAACTGGATTTTACTGCAGTGGAAGCCACTGGAGGATTTTATACAAGTCATTGACCCAATCTGACTTACATATTGAAAAGATTGCACAGCCTGCTGTGGGAATGGATTCTGGCTGGTTAAGATTGAAGCAGAGCATCGTTGTAAGGCTAGCATTCAATACATGCAGACGCAGTAGACCGGAGATGGGGAGGCATGGACTGGGATGACACTGTTGAGATTGAAGCGTTCTCCTCTGATACCCTGATAAGGATGGTAACCCACTATTCTTAGCCAAACACTGACATCTTTCGGCTCTGTCATGATTTCTTCCATCATCACCAATTAAAATCTGTTCTCTAAATTCATTTAGCCATATTTTCCGTGGTAATATTTTTTTAAAGATTTATTTTTATTATTTTTTCATTGGAAAGGTGGATATACAGAGAGGAGAGACAGAGAGGAAGATCTTCCGTCCGATGATTCACTCCCCAAGTGAGTCGCAACAGGCCGATACTATGCCGATCCGAAGCCAGGAGCCTCTTCCGGGTCTCCCACGCGGATGCAGGTTCCCAAAGCTTTGGGCTGTCCTCGACTGCTTTCCCGGGCCACAGGCAGGGAGCTGGAAGGGAAGAGGGGCTGCCGGGATTAGAACCGGCGCCCATATGGGATCCCAGGCGTGCAAGGCGAGGACTTAACCACTTGCGCCACCGCGCCGGGCCCCCATGGTAATATTGTTAAAAAAAATGTTTTGGAAAATATATGTAGCCTTTAAGACTTCTGCAGTCTTCTTAAATTTTATTTTACTTTATTGGAGAGGTACATTTACAGAGCGGAGAGACAAAGAGATCTTCCATCTACTGATTCACTCCTCAAGTGACTGCAGTTGCCAGAACTAAGCTGAACCAAAGCTAGGAGCCAGGAGCTTCCTCTGGGTCTCCCATGTGGATGCAGGGTCCCAAGGTCCTGGGCCATCCTCGACTGCTTTCCTAGACCACAAACAGGGAGCTGGATGGGATATAGGGCCGCCAGGACTCATCCATATGGGATTCTGGTGCATACAAGGCGAGGAGCAAGGACTTCAGCCACTACGCTACCATACTGGATCCAAGGTTTATGCTGTCTTACCAAAAGCTTCTATTTTGTTCATTCAGTACTCGTTGGCAATGTACAATGTGGACATAAACATTTGCTGGGCCAGGTATTCTCTTCCATCAATCTTCACGAAATCGCCTATGAACCACCAACAAGAACATTCTTCATAAAAGTCATTTGCAAGCTATGGTTTTTCTTGCATAGTACATGGTAGAGTCATATTTAATTATACATGAAAATTCATGCTTGCCACGATAATAGTTGTAATACTCATGATCACAGCACCTTGAGATGAAATTCTAGTGACCATTTCAAGAACCCTCAAACTACAACCAAGTCATGTCATCCGTGAATTTTACAGTGTATTCAGTCATAGCAGCCATGTTAGTGCTTTTGTGATCTTTAATTACTTGATTTTTTTAGGGGCTAGATGAAATGTGTTACATTTATGAACTCAAACTATGATTGCTTAGAATAAAAGATTTGAAGTTCATTTGATGGATTTAACTTGAAATGTTTCTAAAAATTTTTTAACTTTGACCAATCAAGCAAAGACCAGATTAAATAAAATTCTTGTCAGATATTGCTTTATTGTTTATAAGAGAAAAGATAATTGCTAATGTCACAGCTATATCTTTTTTTGAGATTGTGTAGGCAAGTTATGAAATGGCCTACATGAACATGATAAATGGTGGATGCAATGAAGAATAGACCAACTGTAGTACTGTGTGAGGAATTTACCTCTTAGGCCTAAAAATTTAATTTTCAGCTCTCCTGGAGTGAAAATCAGCTGTCATTTCCCTTCCCTTGCATGGATGAAAATCAGAGAGAACAGATTGCATTTTTCTAAAATGTATAAGAAAAGATTATTTACAATTATGTGATAAAAATTTAGAGAATATGAATAAGGGGGCCTTCGTGCTGTATCTACTTTATATAAAAAAAGAATATTTACTCACCATTACATTTCCATTTTAGAGTATGACTTTGAGGACATCTATGTCTAAGTTTCCCAACGAATAAAAGTACAAACAAAGCGGTGTCTCTTGTGGCATAAACATCCTGAGAAATTCAAGAGTAAGATTTCATCTGATCTCCATTGCCAGATGTAGAATAGAGATTAATCACAGTCAAAACCAGTCCGTATTGTAAATGTATTGTAGCACATTGACAAAGCAACTCTGCTTCTCCTGGCTGTTACACTACGGTAACTGTCGTGACACCTTCTGCTACCATTATGCATGCATCTTGTTTTTAAAGATTTATTTAGTTTTATTACAAAGGCAGATATAAAGAGAGGAAGAGACAGAGAGGAAGATCTTCTGTCCGATGAATCACACCCCAAGTGACCACAACCGATCCGGAGCCAGGAGCCAGGAACCTCCTCCAGGTCTCCCACTCAGGTGCAGAATCCCAAGGTT